ATCAGGATACATCTCTCGACATCACCGACAAGACAACTACACCTATTTCTCCATCGTCTGTAAGCTTAACAGGATTTGATGTGTGAAAGCCATCTTTATTTGATTTTTGTTTTCCGATTTTTAGCGCGATCTCCATTGTCATATTCAAAAATCGACATTAACCGACCAATAATGATTATTTATGTCCTGAAATCGCTGAATCGTACTTAACGGCCGAAACTTCATAAATCTAAAGTCTTAAATGATGACTTCAGTCCTTTGAATCTCAAATAATGTAAGTAATTAAAATCGATCTCTCCGAAATATAGTTGAAACTCCAAAAACCATCACAGACGTAATTAACTCAATTAAAAATTGATAAAAATTGAACTAATTTTACTCAATAAACTGTAATAACTGCGCATTGTGATCAATAATGTAAATAACCAGGTGATATGAACACCGTGACAAACAACATAGTGTGCCTGTCCCTTTAATGACTAATTATGCCTTCTATTCAGAAAATAGCTTCTTTAATTAAAGGAGAAATATTATTTATCGAAGCCTGGATCAAAAACCGCCCTGAATGCAAAAATTTGGTTAAATTTTTTTGACCTTTTACAACATTTCCAACTCACTGTCGAAAATTTGTACTCTGAAACAACGTTAGAACGCAACCAGGCAAATGATGGTCGACCTATTAAATTAAAAAAAAAATTTTTTACAATTGTTTTAAAAATCAGAACCAAAGACATTGCCACAAGCAGTAAGTTAGAAAGAAACTAACTTTTCGAATAGAAATTACATACTTCCCCTTAGTTTGTTTTATTGAAATAAAAAAAATTTTCTAATTTCCATGACTAGTTTTTTGCTAAATTCTCAATGTTTATTTCTATTTAATGACTGTTTTTCAGAGAAACTTGGTTTTCAAAATCATTTGTAAAAAAAAAACAAATATATTTTTTCATTTTTGAGATTTAAGAAAGTTGGGTTTAAGTTTCTTTTTCATTTATATACGTAAACCTGAAACTTTTTAAAGTTATACTATATTCTAAAAGTAAATAGTATATATAATATAACGCATATATAGTATTTGTTAATCAAATATTTGTCGTATATATGTTTTTTTAATTTATTCTTTAAATTTTCGATTTATATATTGTTATAATTTATATATTTTAACAATTTTTAATTAATCATATCGTTATTCAGTCAACATATATTTTTTTTTTTTTCTTGACACCATGTTTCTGTGGAATTGTATATTTCATAACAATCGCTGTATAATTGGGATTTTCTATATAAGATAAAGTCTATATATGTATGAAATTTATTTTGTAAAATTTTCACCGACTTTGTAGTCTTATCGTTCGTTTTAGAAATGGATTATTTGTTTTTGGTTCGCACCCATAAATTGTTGTTTTGACATTCTCCCCGATTATCGACCTTTTCTTGCGAAATTTCTGATTCTCATATATTCTGCAACAGGATATTGAATAAATGATGACGCGATGAGTTTACGTGGAAAATGACGCATCAAACGATTTTTATTTCTGTTCAAAAGGAAGTGGTATTTATGTCTTAGTGGGCCAATAGAGAGTTAGGCTGGTTTGACCATTATTACTCAATAGTGAGCCGGTTCTTGTGTGGTCTTCTGGTAGTAATTATATCAGGTTAAACTTTTTATAAAAAGAATTCAATTCTCGCTGATGTCTCATTACTTGTGGCTTTTTTAACTATATACCGAAGCTTACTAAGATATCATACCTCTGATAAAATCTATAATAAAATCTATAATAAAAATCTGAAGATAAAATCTATATGATAAAATCACATGACACACACAGCATATATATATATATATATAAAGTGAACATTGAAATCCGCACTCAGGCGCGACAGTCTATATATATATTAGACGCAATCGGATTGACGAATTCATCCGAAAGTAAACAGCCTGTCGTCTCTTAAAATTGGTTGTGCTATCATCTGATATTTATTCACTTTGTCCCCATAAATATCCCAAGGCCTTAAATCTATATATTTTCGCAATATATATATCTATATATATAATTTTGTAATGCGTGTGTGTGTGGACCACGCGCGTGTGTGTGTATCGCCGTTAGAGTTGAAAACTTTTTAACGGAAATGCTTTTAAAAATGCAACCCAACTAATGCCGCCAATCCTGTAATGGAACGGAAGTGTACCAGACTGAAACAGGACAAGAACATTACAGGGTTTTGTCAAGAACAAACAGAAAAGCGATATCTTATGATCTAAATTATGTCAGTGTAATAAAATAAAAATCACAATGATGTACTATGTTTACAAATTACGCAAAGAGATGTACGCACCAATGATCTATTTGAACTAAGTAGTAGATGGTATTTCATAGAATAACCAGGATTTATACTGAACAACCACTTATATATCTAAGTAAGATAAACGAGTAGCTTACAAAAATAGGTAATAGATTGAGACAATATGTCTTCTCCCAGATTTATTCAACTTCTACAGCGTCATCCGAGAACTGGCACACTAACAGATTTATTAGTCGATGGTATATCATTCAAAAGAGAGATAACATTGTGTTAATGGTCGACAATAATAAAAACTAGTTTATATTGTTAGAAACTTTATTCTGAAATTCCGCAAAATAAGTTCATATTTCGCCAGTGTATGTTCAAATATAAACATCGGTAGATGCACTTTATTCCTATATAAAAAATCGATAACAAAGAAAGAATGCAAAGGACAAAAAACCAAATAGAAAATACCTGCACAAAAAAAATAAATAAAATGATTCAACTAAAATCAGTAAACAATTTAAAAGTAATTGGAAACGATTATATGACAAAGTTGAATATTTGATTTATTCATTTTTCATCAGTTTTGATGGTTGATTAATATATACATGAATATGAAGACATTTTGAAAGAATGAAAAGGATCATCACAAAAGTTAAGGAAATGGGAAATAAGTAATTTAATATTATTCTTAATTTTTTTTCACTGCATTTTTGTTTTTAATGAGGTCATACCCAAATGTATTTTAATTTGTTTGCTGCGATTTATCAATAAAAACAAAGTTTATATGAAATGTGATTTTTTTGTCAAAACAATATTGCTGTTTTATTTATTTTTTTTTCGATCCATATGTGCCTTTTGACAAGTGGTTGGCTTATTATTTTGATAGTAACTATAATTTTACAAGAAATAAAATCACAAATTTTGTCTCATTATCTCATCTGTCATTCTTTATAATTTTTTTAATATATATATATATATATATGATATATATATATATATATATATATGAAGAACAATGAGAAGGCTTATTTTGTTTTGTGTTTTTCTCCCCCCCTTGTTTATTCAAAATAAATATATAAAAAGTTCACCCCATTGCCTGATAACTTATTTGGAATGAATAAAATTGATTTACAAAACAGTCCTTTAAGATTAGGTTTTTTGCAATGTCTTCTCATCCGATATGGGTTCCATTAACCCCCTTGTGTCTTCGGTCATTAGCACCTTAGGGAGAAAGCGAAATTTAAAAACAGTGAACCTATTGATAAACAGGAAAACAATGAATCGAGCACGACGGTCAAAAGTTTTTTTATTTTGTAATGAAAATGACAAAAAATTTTTTTGTTTTTGTTTTTTTATAGAATAAGAATTTTATCTGTTTTTAATAAATGCATTTTTTTTGCTTGACTTGAAACAATACTGGATGAGCTGTGATACAGCGAAACAGTCTGTGAATGACAGGTATATATATATATATATATATATATATATATAAATATATATATATGTTTGTTGTGTTTGTATTTTCTTAATTAATAAATCTATTTCTCACAATTGACTGATAACTTTTTTATTTATCTATAAAAACTTGCGCCAAAGCTAAGACCTCAGTTGGCTCAGGACCTCAAGGGTGGATATTGCCTGTATAGCAATCGAAGTTGTATCTTCCAACTTGGTAATATTTTTTGCTGATGTGTTAGGAAAAATGGGATCTGATATAAAAGTGAATAATGGTGTCATTGAACGTTCCATGCCAAATAGAATTTGTTTTGTTTGCAGAATTAGTCAAAACTTTTTTGCAATATACATTCATTAGGTAGATTCCTGTTTAGTCAAAAATTCATTCCTTTGGTGACGAGACTGGATGGAAATCTCCGTGGAATTGGCCTGGGCGATGGGAATTTGAACTTGATGCTAAAATCGACTGCACCAGGCTTTTTCAGTCGTACCGTCATTGGAGCTGGCTTGGCTGCCAGTGTTGGAAGTTTTAATATTCACTCTGGATTTTGACTTTTCTGTGTACGGATATGACCGCAAGACAGTGGAGAATTTAGTTCCGGCTTTCCCTTCAACTAGATGGACTGCCATCCCTGGTTGAAATGTTCCATCTAACCCATAAAACTGGTTATGAGGCTCCCGTGGTTCGCTTTTCTCCCTTCTCCGGCTTGGAGCTGGACTTGCTTGTCAGAAGCTATTTAAGACGAATGATATGTGAACATTTTATAGAGAGTGGGATGACGTATACATTTCTGAAAACCAAACGGTGGATCTGAGGACAGTTCTACAATCTGTGATGCGTTTAGACACTGGGCAAAATAGAATTCGGATTCTGTCCCTCAGCCAACGAAATGGAGAACGCTTTGGCAATCCATAACCTGTTCTGATGGGCGTACTTTGTCATGGTGTAATGGTCAGCGAGCTTGTCTCGCTAGCTCAATAAAGACTGAATAGTGAGTTCAGTCCTCACTGAGAGCCCCATACATTCGGCCTTGTGCCATATCTATGCTACGCTTAGAAAATCAGCATAACCAATATTGATGACTATATAGATATACATGATTCTCGAACTGAGTAACGGTTCTATCCAGTAGTGTTTTGTTCGTTGTATCCGTCGGCGTTTCCTTGGAAATAAGGAACATTATAAATTTTGCTGTATCTCTTGTATGTAAAAAACTTTATATACCCTTTCTATTACACAGACAGACACACACATTATGTAACACCAGCTCCAGTACGATCACCGAAGTTAAGTACCGCCGAGCCTGATCAGTACCTAGATGAGTGACCGCTAGGGAATATCAGGTGCTGTTGGTGTAATGGGTAATGATTTATGTTCCAATTCCTGTTGGGTTCGTTATATTCATTTAGGCGCAAAGACCTTTAGGAAAGATATGAATCAACCTCTTCTCCTCCAGTTATGGGTTAATTAGTAAAAGTTGTATCAGTAAACGTATTATTCTCTAAAAAGAAAAATCTTACAATTTAAAAATATTTTCTGGCTTTAAATGACGTGTATAGGGTTGATAAGCCGTAGAACACGAATAAATTAATGGACTGATTAAGACAGACTTAGTTTGAAATTGCCTGCGAGTTGTCAGGATAATCAGACCCCTGAGGAAGGCAGAATTTTGGGAACAATAACTATAGAGATGATGAAAGTATTCCGAATGTAAATAAAATTAACTTGTTTGTTTGATTTCAGAACCTGAAATTGCCCCAAATGAATCAATGCATTATATTTATGAGTCACTACTGTGCCATATTTTTGTAAAATTAGTTCGTAGAATTGGAAAAAAAAACCTGAATACATTTCTTCTCGTACAAACTTCTGCGACAGTATTTTTATTCTTATATGGGCAAATTTATTTATTTATTTTTTTGCGATGTTTGTTCACCTGACCTTGAGAGATATTTATTCGATTTGGAGGAGATGAGCTATTCTGATAGTTTTGTTTTAAAGTGGATCGACCAGGCACATTGTTAACCATCGTTGCGCTCTGCAGTGTTAGTGACGCCGGAAGGACGATGGCAAAGAATAGAAATTTGGCCCGGGCAAAAGAGTATGAAAAAAAAAAAAAAACGAAATAAAGAAAAAGCGGGATGATATTAACGACACGTCAACGGCCATTTGGCTGTTGAATTTGCATTCTAGAAAATGTGGCACGGCTTTTCCTTGAATACACGTCACAAACACGGCTCTCCTAAGAATGAAAAGAAGTTAACTGCATACGCGAAAGCTCTTCACTATCAACTATCAATAATTGGCTCCGTTTTCAGTGTTATATGTGTTGCTGAGGCTTATCCAACTGTAAACGCAGTGACAGTTTTATAATGTTTTCGGATGACATTAAGAGGAAAGGGTATATTGAATCCACTGCTAGGCCAGTTGCTAAGAAAGTTGGTTCACTGTGTCGTGCAAGACAATAATTTCTGCCCAGAACCTATATTACATATCTATAAATCTACCTTTCGTTCATGCTTAGAATATTGCTGCCACATATAGTCCGGGGCTCCTGCTATATATCTAGAGATCATTGATAAAATCCAAAGAAGAATCAGCCATATTATTAATTCTAATCTGGCGTCTGGGCTTCAGTCACTTTCTCATCTCCGTAATGTTGCCTCCCTGTGCCTATACTATAAATATTTTCATGGTAATTCTTCGGATGAGCTCTTCGCTATCGTGCCTACGCTTTTCGAATTTAAGCGCAGGACTCGACTGGTGTCACCAATTTAGCATCGAGTTGGCTAGAGTAACCATAAACTTTATACTAGCAGTTTCTTTTTTGCACTTGTCGCGTGTGGAATGACCTTCCGTCGCCATGCTTTCCAGCCAACTATAATCTTCAAAAAATGTGATGCAATGTCAATCGATATTTACGGTCCTCTTAATTACTATTCTTTTGTAATATCCTTAGTAATGTTTTCCAGTTCTTCCACACTCATTAACTTTTTGGCTTTAATACCTTGCTTGGGGTGAAGTCAACTAAAAAAAAAAACTATTCAAGCATTGTGAAAAAATGAAACTATATTGAGTAAACAAACTACGAAATGGGTGAAAAAGTATTAGAAATGAGTCCTTATGTAAATACGTTCGGCTTTTTGGTAAGAAATTTGTTAGAATTGTCTGAGCAGTCATTTGAACTGAAGCACCGAAATCGGACACATAATCAAGGCCTATGAGGAAATAAACCATAACGTTCTGAAATGCTTAAAAAAAAAAAAAAAAAAAAACAGGAAAAGCGTGCTACCAAATTGGTAATTAAGTCTCACTTTTTTTTACTTTTATCTCATCAGTTTCCGTATAATGTAAATTATCGTCTGTTTGTAATTTTATCTTTTTTATTTTATTTTATGAGAGCGTATAACTCGTCTTCTCGAGTCCGGAAGGTCGTAAAATACTGGCTGTAATAGAAAATCCTGCTTGCTTGAATCTGCATCATCTCCAAGATAAATGTAAATTAACTAGTCGAAACATTTAGATATTAACAATATTCCATGAGATATTTTACTTTTGGGTATAATTATGTAGAAGAAATGTTAGAATTTGACTGAAATTTTCGGCTTTGTATTAGAGACTTCATCGATTTACAGGGAAGATGTTGGTCATCTGTTGCGATTCGGTTGAATTGTAGCAGTCGTCTACCTTCATAAGTGTGCATTGAATATTGCTGCCACATTTGATCTTTTGGTTATATATCGAGAGATTCTTGACACATTCAAAAGAATAATCTGAAATGTTATCGGTCCTGACTGGCATCTCGGCTTCAACTACATTTCCAACACTGTAACCGAGAACTTTTCTATTGATATTCTCATGGTAATTTTTCTGGTGATCTTTTTTCTTAGGTACCTCAAATTCTTGAATTCCATTTTAGTACTAGACTGGCAGTTAGGTCTCATTTTACTGTTGAAATCGCTAAATGTAATCATAAGTTCTATTCTAAGAGTTTCTTCTGCTGTACTTCATGCTTGTGGAACTCTTGCTCTCCTGTCAACTATCTCCATAGAGCGAAAAATCTAATTGTATGGTGAGTAAAAAAAAAAAAAAAAATCTACTGGAAAGGTCTGTAACGGCATGGACCTAATTTTACTTCGTCAGAATTCACGATCTGTTGTTATACTGCACATCATCGGTTACATACACTGACATACAAAATAAGCCTGCTGTAAACTTGGATGTGCAGGTGGTGTAATGAATAATGACTCGAAATTGTTAATCGGAGGCCGAGTTCGAGATCCACTTGGGTTCGTTATATTCATTTAAATATAAATACCTTGGGAAAAGCATGAATCCACCTCTTCTTCCACCAGCTATGGGTTAATTAGTAAGACCTGTATCACAAAATCATTTTCTGTAAAAAAAAATCTTACGATATTTCTGGCTTTATATAACCTAATAAGGTTCTGAAATGCTGAATAAAAAAAAGTGTAGAAAATGAATCAATCAGTTAGTAAGACGTGTATCACTAAAATCATTATGATCTAAAAAAAAATAAAAAAAATACATACATACAAAATATTTAGATTTTGGCATTAAATTACCCATAGACGTTGATATGTTGTTAAAACTAACCCCAAAAATGCAGGCGTTTAGTACAACGTCGTTTCGTTAATCAATTATTTAATCCGATAATTAACTTTTTTTAAGTTCCATCATCCCGACAGTCATGAAGATAGAGCAAACAAAAAGACATTTTTTTTTGTTACATTTATGGTTGTCCATGGATGAAATCGATAAAATCTTGATATGTATAAACTGGTGGATCCAAACCGATTTGGGGGCCATGCCCTACTTTTGTATTTGTAAAATTCTGGTGCCGCCCCACGTAATATTTAATTTTTACATGTATCTCAATTACACACAAAATATTTTTATGTATTCATACTGTATATTCATTGTATGTATTAACACTCATTAACACACTCACTCAGACTCACTATAAAACTCATTCTCGAATTGCCCCCTTATTCTGTTTGTATAGTAAGCCGAAGGATGCACACTTATGTATATACGGGTGAGAGGGGTAAAAATAAACATTGTATTTATTTCATTTGTTCTTCTGCGACAGTTCTCTTCGTTTACAGTTCTTATACAAGTTTGCAAATAAGTCCTCACGATTACAGCCGACTTGATATTCAAAGAGATTTAAATCTATCCAAGCAAAGCTGTATTTAATATTTTCAAACTTTATTATATACTTGTTTGCATCGTTTTACTTTTTTTAAATAAAAAAATCTGACGAGCCGAATGAGTGAAAGGGGTTTGAACCATGTGAGGGCTTGGAATTCTAATTGCTTTTAAGTTTTAACTCAAGACCCAAAATGTACGAAGATAATGCAGTTACAAGAATAGAAGGGTGAATAAAAAATATGTCTCGCCGCTTAAAGATTTCATAGCGAGACAGACTACCACCAGGTGGCCAATCGGTTAACATTCGTCCTATCTATCTCCCTCGCTCAAACAAACAATGCTATGAAAACTATCTCCATCCTGGAATAAAATGAGGAAGAACTAAGTAATGAGATTGTCCGTCGTGTAACGCTGGGACCTGAAGAAATACCGATAAGCCGCTAGAATCCAGAGACGACATGCGTCGCAATAAGAAATTGGGAAAACTATGGAAATAGAAAGGGGGGAAAAGAGCGCGTGAATGTGGAAAATAGAGGGTAAGAAAGCTAGAGATAAAATAGAAAACCAGGTGAAAGGAAAAATAAACATGCATAATATATATATATATATATATATATAATGAGAGAGAGAGGGGGGGTTTACTAGAGGAATATCAAGAGACCATGAGCCAAATTTTCCTTGGATGGAATGTTCTTTACGGACCGATAAAGTAAAACCAACATTAAAGAGTGGATGCAATAAAAAAATATTTTTTGTATTTTTCCTTCATTTTTTGCATATAAACTAACAATTTAATCGCTATTTCATGAACTATATAAATAAAAACCGTAACAGGCGCCGGATATTAGAAGGAATAATGGACAGAATGAGTGTTAAATAATAATTTAGCAGACTATTATTTTTAAGGAGAATTGTATCTCAGCTGTGACATCCAGCAATTGACCTTTGAGGCCAGATGCAAACCATAAATGGGTAGTTGATTTTGACTGGGTGAACTAGTGTGGGAATGATAGATTGAGACATGTTTTACAGGGAATCGTGTCCTAACCGTCAAACAATATAGACTTGTTTTCTTTCGTGTCTAAAACGGTTCCCCAGTGAGGCAGGGACGACCCCCATTGGATAGAGAGGTAGAACATGTCGACATGAACGTTAATAAAATATTTAAAATTCCCT